AAATTTCTCTCCCGATTTCCTTCCCATAAAACGGGCTAATACCGGGGTTTATCTTTAAAATGGTTAGCAAAGCGATTAGGATGCTCATCGGGAGGTGGAATATTATACATTTTCCACTAGAAGCACTCATTTGGGTGCCAAGGAAGTGAGATATGGCACTTTCACGACGAAACGTTGCTGAGCAGGACTTCGAATACCTCCTCCCCGGAAGCTTCCCACTTAATACTTTAGTTGATGATTTGGACGAGCTGTGTTGCGACAAGCGACACAACTGGAGCAACTCGACTGGAGCACGGATTGGCATGGTGCCACCAAACGCGTTGCGGTAAACTCGTCCATACGTCCGCCGTCTTAGCCGCTGCCCGTCCTTGAGCGAAGGTCAACGGCCAAACAAGGGGCCTTTTTCGTGTTTTCTTGACGGATTTCTCTGCTTTTTTCGCCACAGACGTGTCATTGAGCACCCTCAGGTCCCCTCAAAACGGAACCTATCATTTTGGCCGTCATCAAAAGAATTCATTTTCTGATCGTTTCGGATAACTTACAATGGAATGTTTGGCAAGCTAAGCATTTATGCCAATATGCCGAGCGGTGTTAGAATTTTTCTTAAAACCTACTTTTGGACACACTGAAGCTCCGAAATTGAATAGATAAGCTCAAAATGTTTGAAAGTATCTTCTACGTGTCTTCGCACTCTCCGAATCTCTTTATCCTTTTGCAATATGCGCAGCAGGTTTTTCAAGTGTCCTCAGGATGTTTTTGGCCAGTATTTCGTGTTTTTAGTATTAAATAATTCAAAAAATTGGAAGCTATTGCAATGTCCGTAACACACGCTACTGATAGCAAGCTTATCCGGGAGACGCAATTGTGAAATCATCTTCAAAAATCAAATGTTAATCAACGATAGGAAAACCTGCACCGCATAAATTGCCGTAACTGCAGCCTCTTTTCCAATTACCTTTCGTTATTATCTCTTATTTTTTTAAAAGGTGAGAAAGATTAATAATTATCCACTTTTAAGAAGCGGTTGCAAGAGTCAGTCCAACTACTTCAAGACTATCAGAAAGGCGTTGCGAAAGCCACCGATCAGGAACTATGGCGAGCTCAAAAAATCAAGCAAGCAATTTTGCATCCAGACACCGGTGAAAAGGTTCTGCCGCCATTCCGAATGAGTGGATTTGTACCGTTCGGTTGGATTACGGTAAGGATTGCAGAACCTATGGCGGAACCATTTGCTTTCACACTACAAGTTTTTAAGGTGACAGGTATGCTTTTGCCGAATCCCTCTTGGCCTACACTTTTATTCTGGCAATGGATGAATCAGTCTCACAACGCATGCGTTAACTATGCGAACAGGAACGCAACTCAGGTAAATATTCCTCCTTCTTCTTTTTCTCATTTTTTGCGAAAATTGAGGAATTAGAGTCAGAGATGGAAGTGGAGGAAGGAGCGTAATAAGAAGTTTTCAGGCAGGCGCTGGAAAGTTTAGCGTGTTTTTTTTCGGTTAGCAAAATGCAGCGCCAGTATATACTATGCAATTCCCTATCAAGCGCTATCATAAAGGTGCCGCCATTGCGTCAGAATTGATCGAAACAGGTTTCTTCTGGTGGGGACTTCAGACAACTTGATTGTATAGGCCAAATCGCATTCGATTACCGCCACGATTCTAAACGGGATTAGAAGGCACGGCCCTTCCCAAGAAGGTCCATTATGCCGTTTTCACAATAGGTATGTATGTCGTGTATCCCGAAAATCCAATTCTTTTCAAATCATACCAGCCTACAAACTCACCGGGCCGACTAGATATTACCGAAGAGATTCAAAAGAACATCCGCATGCACACTCCTTCATTTCACTTCATGAACCATATGTGTACGCGAAGTTTCATAGTTCGCAAATGATGCTTTGATGCATTCTCAAAGACACGGTATTGAAGAGTTCGTTATTCATTGCTCTGAAGAAATTTTTCAGCCACAGCCACTTTCCACTTATCTAGGAGCCTATGGAGCTGCGGTCACAGCAGCTTGTTCAATTTCAGCAGGTACCATACCATGTTTCATTCTTCTTTGTATTGTTGGTTTTACAATGCACTCATTGAAGGATTCAGGTTTGACGTATTTTTTGAAAAAATCAACGTCTTTACCTCCTACCACTCGGATGATCGTTCAGGTGAGCAAATACTGAACAATAGGCATTCAAAACATCAGTGCGTTTGCCTTTTCAGCATTCATTTACAGTCAGTTTTTTCGAGCTTTTATACTGTTATTTACATGACATTCATCAGAAATTATCGACCGTTTTTTAGCTAATACATT